TGGCAGCAGAAATACAGTTTAACAAAACCCATCCCAAGTGATCTAATAGAAAAAAAATAAATCTTCTCCTCACCTGTCTCAATGGCTTGGCTTTCATTTTTCTTCCACTGCTCTGCAACATCATTTGCCAGTGGATCATCTGGATTGGGAGCACTTAATAATGCCTGGATAGATAGCAACACTGTACGGATCTGCAGGGCTGGAGACCACTTGTCTGTGGGAAGATCAGGAAAAAGAGGAACAGGCTGGTGGGTTTAATGGGAAAAGAAACAAATCTGATGGCAAACCTAGTGTCAACAACTTGCTAGTGGCAGAAAAGGAAAGCAGTCAATATCAGGGCTCAGCTGATCAGAAAGGCAAGGTAAAGAAAAAAAAACATATGAGGGAGTAGCAGTCCTTTAGTGCTGATCAGTTTGCTAAACAATCTCTTCTATTTTCCCACATTCCCTTCTAAACATATATGCAAACACAGCTGCATGCTTTCCTGATACATTTTATATACCAATTTGCTTTCCATTACCACATAATATCAAGATAATAAAAATTAAATCCATGATTCTATCATTGTATAATAATGCTTATGTGCTCAAATAAATTATAAATACATTTGTTTGCTTAACAGAAAATGCAGAGACTTTGGGATTGTCATCACCTACGCTGCATATGATCGTTAAAATAATCGAAAGAAATCAGTGAACACAAGGCACGAGAGAACTGAAACAGACTCGATTCTGCAGCAGAAATCAGTGCACGGGCTCAGGAACAACCACTGAACAAAGTTTGTCTCTGCACTCATAAAATAAAGAGAAAACTCAGCTGCTTAAAGAAAAAGAATTTAGAAGCAAGCTGTCGAATGGCAGCTTGCTTCCTGTGGACCTGAATTGTGAAGTTTTATTTCATTTTTTTTTTTAATCAAATACACCTCTAAAGAGGAAACACCTCGCTTGTCATCATAAAAGCTGATCCAAAACAAAGGCTTTGTCTCCAATTATTTAAAATGTGTTGCAGATATAAAACTTAAAATGAGCCTTAAAAAAATTTTAATATATTGTCTTTGCAACAATTTCACTTAAATAAAATAGTTTAATCATAATGAAATCATCACATAAAATATGGCTGTACAGTGTTCCAATCTAATGTTATCTATCCCATCCCCCCAAATCTTGATCTAGAACACATGTCATGAATTAATCTTCCTTTTTCTTACAAATACAATTTAAAAACACATATTTTGACGTTAACAATAAATCAGTTCAGTATAACATGAAAATGGTTCGTATTATTTCCACGCCCTACTGAAAGTAATCACCTAACTTCCTTCTTCTTTCAGACGATGAGTTCTTTATATAAAACTGAAGGCATACTTTTCTCTACAACAGGCTTTAACATGTCGGACGTTCACTGGCTGCTCATTGCAAAAACAGAACAATGCCAATGCAAGTAAGTGTTTTCCTAAAGCATTATTATCATCTCTCTTATTCAGTGGGTTTCCACACATTTGTACTTGGAATTGCAAGTAAATGAACCTGTGACTGCTATAAAGGCATAAAAGTCATAAGCTTTAACTGTTTGATGCTCCTCACTTTTACAAAGCAATAAGAAAAAAGCTGAAATCAAGTCCTGCAGAATGCTGTCAGAGTTGTTTCACACCAACATCAACCAGAAAAAGAAAACAGGATGTAAATATTTTTAAAAAAACAATCATGTAGATTATTTTTATCTCACGGTTTTCTTACCTTTCAAAATGTCTAAACATATTCTTCCCAGTTTGTCAACATTGGGGTGATAGATTTTGGTCATGAATCGCACTTTGGGAGCTGCCATGGGATACTCTTCTGGAAGAAATAGTTCAAGTTTAAATGTGCCTCCTTCAAAGGGAGAATCTTGAGGCCCTGCAATGAACACATGGAAGTAGCGTGCATTCCCTTCATCAGGCGTAGCAGTGATCCCTGGAACAGGCTCTGCCATCAACCGCTGCGTTTCCTGAGCAAGGTCATAGTGAGAAACACAGTTGTTGACATTTTGAATTTAAAAAGGAAGAAAAAGTGTTGCATGAAGAACTGTAGGAGGGTGTCAACAACGGACTTTTAAGTGCATAATGGTTCATAATACACAATTTCACCCCGCTTAGTCACACAAATACTTTCCACTTTACCCTATATATAGACAAGAAAACATTTCCACAAGTTATTTAAAATGGAAACTAAAGGCAGTCAAGTGTTCGTGCAGTGCCTCGCACTGACAAATAATTCAGTGGCTCCACTTTATTTTTAATCTAAAATTATTTTTGAAATTCAACCAATCATTTCCCAATACCTAAAACAAGCCTTCTCTCTCCATTGCCTCCTTAATTTCTTGTAGTCTTTTTTTCCTTTCTCACATTGTACTTCTGTTTGTGCTTTAGAGAAGTGGTTCTTATCTTTAATATGGAAATATTTTTGTGCTGAGTACAAACATTTTTAAGCAAAAAAATACAGTTGCAATAAAGAGTATATGAGCCAAAAACTGTGGTTTCAGACTGCTCTAAACAAAACTGCAGTTCAAACCTTCCATTTATGAGGGGCAGCCAATCAGAATCACATTAGCTTAAAGGGAGCTCTTCAAATAGCTTTTCTTGCCCAAACTCTGAGACATTAACAAACAAACAAATTAGCCAATAAATAATCGCTGTTTAAAGAAGCAACCAGTTATCAGATTGACTGCAGATTTTTTTTTTTGCTTGTCTGTCTGAATAAATTTGTCCAGATTACTTTTAGAAACTGTTTCAGTGCAATGATTGTTCCACTTTACTGGGTGTATTAACAGTGTATCTGCTAGAGTTTTACCGCAATGAACACTGTGCGAAAATGAACAAGGAGGAAGTAGAAATCTATTTAAGATTTCTGCATTCGCTTGAGCAGGTGCACCAAAACGTCTGCAATAAACAGGAAGGAAACTGATTCACTCTTAGAATAAGAAAAAACAAAAACGTTTCTTTGTTGTGAATGTAAAGCAAAATGCCATAGGTTTATAAACAGAAGCTGATTCCGGTTTTCCCACTTTGCCCACGGTCGTGTTACTGGTTGTGAAAACCTGTTAAACCTGAGGAAGAGCTGCTAGACGTAGCGGAAAAGGCTGATCGCGCCCAGGCCCGGCCCAGCGAAGCTGCGGTGAGGCTAAGGGAGGAGACCGCAGCCCTGAAGGCCTTGCATTTCTGTTTTAGTTCCATATATTTTAATACTAAAACTAAACAAAAGATGACATGTTGACATGCTCGCGTAGTTGGGCTCGTACATATGTTTCGTGAGCACAAGGGCAGCGCTTCACATCAGCATCAGACATGTGTACGAATCGGCAACGCTAAAACTGCTAGCCTAGCTCACTTAGCAAATCCATTCATAGGGCGACTGGGACAAATTTCTACAATCAGTCGATTCATACTGAAAATGTAAGAAAGCAATAACTTTAACATTGCAAATTAAGCGAGTTAAGAATTCCTCACGTATAAAAAATTCAACCACCGTCACAGCAGAATTCACTAAACGGAAGTGGCAAACAAAACACAGACAAGCGAGCTAGCTCGACAGGAGCTAAATGTGCTAGCCTTGCTAACGCCAGGCTACACGCGAGATGAGTGCACGTCTATGTCCATATTGGCACTGAATATCCGCTATAAAATACACTCAACGGCTCATTATGATATATACATATTGTCCGATGACAGGAGTACCTTTACAATCCTACGAGGCAGACCGGCCATCTTGTGTTAGCTATTATATTTTTAGCCGTTGACTCGCCTTCTCTTCAGGTTGGATTGACTGAGCTGCTGGGGCGGGGACAGATAACTCACGCTTCCGGTGGCTTCAGATGACGTAGACAAGTATGCTGATGTCTAAAGACTTCCATGTAAAATATAAATGCTGCAATACTAAATAAATGAACAAATAAAACATATTATGAATCTGAAATTTTAGTTAAATGTTTTCAAAGGGTTCTGAATATATATATCTTTTTAATGCTGCTATTACTATTTTAAGAAGACAAAATAAAAGGGCCATTCTACAATTGCAGGAAAATTTCTGTCACACCCCAGAATTTGAAAACAGTCTATGCACAAAATACTAAAACTTTAATTTGTTGTGTAAATCACAGCTGCTCTTGTTAAATAAGTGGTTCACACATATAGTTTAAAATACATAACAGCCTTGGAGAATTCCCCAAATCCCAATTTGTCCCATATCTTAACAGCCAAACTGGTTGTCAAGTATAAGATTTTTTAAAAGTTATGAATCAGCTTTCTTTATTTTATGAACGACATAACAAAGAAAAAGTGACATATCAAGTCACATGCACACATCACGGGTAGACCAAAGGGCAGTCCACTTTATTATCTTTTCTGACTGGATTGCGTGTATTACCTTAACTAATGCAACCCTATTGCCATATTACCAAAGGAAGCTAAATGAATTTCAAAGATTTCTTCCTTTATTTGTATAACGACATTCATCTTTGACTTTCACAGTCCATTTCACTCCACCGCTTACATCTTTTTATGAGAAAACATTAATGCTAGCACAGATTTGCAACCTTGTTACTTATACTTGTTTCCACGCAAACTGCCATAGAGTTCATCTACCAACTGGAAGATAGATGGTTTGATTCTCAGCTCCTCTAGTCTGCGTGTCAAAGAATTTTAGGCACTAAATCCTTAGTTGCCTTGATGGAATCTAAGTGTGTGGACAGCAGGCTAAAAAAAAGGTGGAAAATTCAGCTCTGTGGAGTGGGCTTCTTCTATGTTACACTCAACAAGATTGCAAAACCAAGATGTTGTTAAAAAGCCTTAAAAATCAATAGAGACATTTTTCACCCTGGACACTATCTGTTTGACCTGTTGCCTAACAGACTGAAGAACGTTTTTTATCCAAGTGACACATCATAGCCACAGATCTACCAAATGTGGGTCAGATGTGAGGTGCATTATGACATTTGCGTTAAAACTGACAAACTCATCACTTGCCACAACCCGCTTCAAGCGGGTGACATTCAGGCCACAGTTCACCCACAAAATACATCCAAAAGAGAATGACCTTTTCCCCTCTTCTTCTGCTGCTGTGTTGTACAGGTAGTTAGTTGTGCTTTGAAAGTGATTCACTTTCCCCACGCACGTTGTCCTTTATGCTAACAGTTAGGTAGCAGAAGTCGTGTCTCTTTAACGGGTTCCTATATTTTTCAGCATAGCTGTTCAGCGTACCTCTTTAATGAGAACTAAATGTCTGCTGAGCACAAATATAGTCAATTTAATTTTCATTCATTATGTTTACGTTGCTACAATACTGTTTGGTTGCTAGGCAACATGTTGACGTCATAAATCGTTATTCATAATTAAAGTTTCAGGGATATGAACTAGATGCTACCATCATGAAATGAAAATGATACAACACCTTTATAAAAGGTGTTTACATGTGCATAAAGGAGGTTGGTAGGTGGCTGCTAGCCAACATAATGACATCACAATATCTGATATGGATCTGTACACCTGCACACCTGGAAACTCTGAAGACACACGTGTGTGACTTGCCAGGCTACTTGAGATCCCCTGCTTTATATCATCAGTCTAAAGAAAATTCTACTGCAACTGTGAAGTCCGGTGTAGTGGCTGCATCAAAAAATGTAACTACTAACTTATTATTTAACAGTTTATTTAACATTATAGTGACAACAGAAGGATATCATTTGCTGTTTGGTAGCTATCTGTCCTTTGGTGGGTCCTTATTTATGCGTCGCCTTCGATACCTGTGAACAACAAAACAGAGGACGATCAATACAGAACAACAAGTACAGACGCATTTTTAAAGAGAGAGCACATTTTCTTTCAGCTCTTTTACACAGTTTCACAATCATCCAATGAATAAAAACAACAGAAGGAGCGACAGAGTCTCCTCATCGAAGTTGGCAACTCATCTAAATCTGCTGTGCTAACACTGTTAAATCAGCAAACCAGACGAAACAAGGTTGAGTAACCCACTTTCAAGGGAAATTTCTTCAATATGTTATTTCTGACCTCCAGCTTGCCAGTAAATATGGTGATGAAAAGCTTAAGACCACTTGAAAAATTACAAACAAATATTTTTTGAGCATGCAAAAAAACAAAAGACCTGTAACCACCCCAAAACAGAAAACCCAAACTCAGTAATAAGTAGCTCCACCGTTATTGCTGATCACGTCAAACATTTTTCAAGTGGTCTTAAGCTTTGATCGGGACTGTGCAATACCAATAATACCTGTAACATCCAGATAAACAATTTTCTACACATAATTCATCTTGTTGATCCAAATGTAAACTTTGGAGGAATAAATCAACAATAACTTACTAAAGGGAGATCAGATGAAGAACATCTGGGCAAATCTCCCACCAACCTTTTCATCACAGACCTTTGCCTTTGTGTGTGTTACTTGTGTACTTACTGTCCAATTGGATAAAAGCGATGTTTTGTAGTGAAGAACATCTTGCTCAGCTCTTCTATTGTGGGGCCGTTGTCCTTGAGCACCTCCTTGCTGAGGTGGGCCTTTAAAACCTGGTCGTGCGTCTCGTCCTGATTGGCCATTGGGTCTGGTCTTTCTATAGGCTGCAAAGATTAATTTCCCGTTTTGTAAATACACAGTGTTTTATTGCAATCCTGAAGCTTTCTCACTTGTTGTGCACAGAACAGTTACATCTTTTCTAATGGCTGTAAGTCTGATACTTCAAGTTTATTTGTTATAAAATAATAACAGGTCTAAAACTATATCCAGAATACTTTTGAAAAAACCTACACAGTAGTGCCTTACCTGGGTAAGCTCATAGGGAATGTCCACAGTGGGATGGTAGCACACTATGGTTTGTCCATCTGAGGTCACACCAATTTCCACATTACTAAAGCCAAAAAATTGAAAGATTAGTATCTATGTCAAACTTAAGTACTTAAGTAGTTGTCACATTTTTTTTAAACTTCATTAATTATTCCAACAACACAACTACAAAAATGTTAAATATTTCTGCAGCTACAGTGCTTTGCAAAAGTCTTGAAGTAACAAATTCTTTATATTTTGCTAGTTAAATGGGAAATATGTACACCAGTTTTAGGTTTGTACAATTCTAATGAGCTTGAAAGTCATTATTTTGTATGAACACCTTTATTCTTCAACACAGCCTGAACTTAGGCAGTTTTCTTGTAATTTCTTTAAATATTCTTCAGGAATAGTTCTCCAGGCTTCTTGAAGGAAATTCAAAGCTCTTCTTTCGATATTGGCTGCTTTTCTTTCACTAGCTGTTAAAATGATCCCACACTGCTTCAATAATGTTGAGGTCTGGGCTCTGGGGAGGCCAATCCATGACTGATGGTGTTCCATTGTGTGTTTTGCCATACTTTTTCTGCATTGGCAGTGTTTGGGATCATTGTCATGCTGAAAAGTCAAGCCGTTGTCTATCAGACTCCTTCCTGATGGTATTATGTGGTAAGCCAAAACATTATGATGCTTTTCTGAGTTTGTTTGTTCTATTTTGAGAAGATCCCCAACACCCCCAAACAACGACAGACCCTCCACAGTGGCTGTTGTACCTCTCTCCTGACCTCCTCTGCACATATTGATGATGATTTGAACCAAAGATTTAAAATTTGAATTCATCATTCCATAAAACCTGATGCCACAAATCTTCAGTCCAGTTTTTTTGTAATTTGGCATACCTCAGCCTTTTTTCTTCCTTAAGAATGAACTGAACTTCCACTGAAATCAATTCTGATGAGGCACTGGTGAACAGTAGATGGATCAACCGAGGCATGCTGTGTCAAGTCTTTGCTGGATTTTTTCTCCACTTGTTAAGTTTCCTTCAATCTTTTAAGGATACACTTCATCCCTTGAGTTAGTTGTCTTTATAAGGAATTTATGTTTCCTTATGTCAAGCACAAGGAAGGGAGTGAATTTACTGTGAAAAAGGCGCCAATGACCAAAGAAAAACTTTCAAAGTCCTTCAGAAAGAAGGAGAACTACCAATTGAGGCCTCTTTAAAAATTACAACAAAGTCTGGCTGCTTGGAGTCAAAATTTAAAGTAATGAATTGTTGCTCAAGACTTTTGGACAATACAACACGCAGTGCTAATTCTAATCCACAAGGTAAGCTAACTACTTTCGTATTTATTCATCTCATCTTAATTGGACAAACACAAACCATTCAGGTCCATCAAGAAAAGTAGTACCAACACTGGACTTCTGGCGAGCTGGTACCAAACAAGCTGCAGCAGGAAAACAAACACAACCAACACAGATGTAACACAAGTCCAGACAACTAATGACACAAATGGACACGGTTCAACTTCTTAGCTATAAATTAAACTCTGAAAGCTTAGAGACCATAACACAAGGATGGAGGCAGCAGCAGGAACTACTAAACACAGATACTAGACATGATGCTGCTACTGTGCCCAAAATGTGTTACGTTTACAGTCACTAGGAAACGTGTAGACTTGTAATATATTAAATTATTCGTAGCGAGTTTTTGTTTGTTTGTTTGTTTGTACAGACACACTGTGCTTTGGACAGTGAAGTCAGACTCGCCACCTAAACTGTCAAGGTTAGCCCGTTAGCTTTCACCTCTGCCATCGCTGTTAACCAATAAATCTGTAAACTCGCGTACACTCACATGACCGCCAACAATGACAAATAAAGCATAAAACTTACTTTGTACGCACGATAATGGAGTGCGACCGGAGAGTCGCGTTAGGAGACTGTTTAGTCTGCACAATCGACCCGACGCCATGCTTAATTATTTTGTATGTGCAACACTGTAATATTTCCGTCTCTGCTTTCTGACTCGGCTTCAACAGTTCCGCTGCTGGACCCATCTCCTTCAATATTTCTACTCTGGCTTTATTTGTAACTCCTGCATTTCACTTCAAATTTCTTTGACATCTAACATGTTTGGATTATTTCAAAATCTCCAAAATGAACTAAACTTCATGCTGTTACATAAAATATTTTTAAATATCTTAGAAATGTTTTGTTTAAAATAAAATACAATTGAACCCTGGGATCCCTACAAATACTCACAGTTCAAATTCCCAGTGCGCACATGCATCATGTAGTACTTGTGATATCTTTATTTTCTATGTTTTTCTTTAATATGATTTAAAAACATTCACTCATTCACATTCACGCTCAGTCTGTTACTACTTAGCCCCGCTGGTGACTAACAGTAAACTGAAACATTTATGAATTCTTACGTTTCATACTTTACATTATAGGTGGTTATTTTTCCATATATTCTTAGTATTAGGTCCAGTTTTTAAATGCACTACATTTTAGCACAAAACCCAAAAGAAAGTCTTTTACTTTTTCTTTTTTTTTTTAAAGATTATAGGCTAATAATGTACAGTACAACCACATAAATATTTAAACACCGCACATCCATACACATC